AGTGCTGCAGCGCACTTGGATCATCCCAGCGTTTTGCACGAGCTTTTGCTGATGAACAAGAAAGTTGAACTGAATTCAATGGAACACGCGTCCAGTTCCGATAATTTTCAGAATATTTTTATTTTTCATATTTTAAAGGACAGCAGTGTGTCCGTTTTTGGAATGCTCAAGCTCGCTGAAGTCGAATGTGGTCCCATTCGGAAGCTATTCGCAGCAAGACACAGAATTTTCACGGTGAATAGAACAGTACGATTTACTGCGTTGGAAATTTTCTGAAACATGTTTTTCTTACTTTCTTTTAGTTTTCGAGGAATCCAGATAGTTTTTTGTGCCACAGACGCGATTCTGCTTCGAACGAAGGTTTTGCAGAAAATGCTTGCAAATCATCCAGAAATTACGCTTTTTGAAATGGGGAACGAATATCTATGTAAAGCGCTGGACAACGAAGTTAGATCATGCTTAAATCTTTAAAAATTTCGACGAATGTGCTCCATTTGAGATATTTTGCAGGGAATTTTCATTTTCTCGACATCTTTGGAAACATTCGGTCACATGATACATTCGGAAGATTTCAAGCAAGGCAGCACAGAAGGAGAGTTGTATGAATTGGTCAAGAATCCTTTTGACTGGAGACAACGATATTTGCATCCAGAATTCGAGCTTTATCTCAACGGGTCCAAGCTCATCAAAGAAGTGAATTCACAATTTTGATTTACTTTGCATCGAAGAAATCGTTTACACGAGGTAGAAATACCCGCAGAATCTTCGAAAAACCCTGTTCCGATGGTATTTGTAATCGGTTTTTTCTGAAGGGTTACATTTGGAGCGAATCCCTCAGAAAATTTGAATACATTTTTTAAAGAGAGTAGTTTTAGTATGGATAAATGATTTGAAATTTGAAACTTATGTATGCTCACATGTTCATCCGTTGATCATTAAATTGAATGTTTAAAAATGAAACTTTTACATCTTCAAGCCGTGTCCAGACGTCTACTGGTTTCCTCTCATGACCGAAAGATACTGCAAGTCAATCATCAGAGAATTTGAGACCTTCGGGTTCTGGGGAAACGGTTCCGAGGAGGTGAACGAAAGTCTTTCTTCATCAAAAATGTTTTTGATTTATTCTGAAAAAATAAATTCGGCGGTTTTATTTGGAAATTTTGGACAGGATCCCAGGAATGACGGACATGAACCAGTCCCGACGGTCGACGTGTATTTCACTGACATGGGACTGCATGAAACATGGATGCAATTTTTGCGGGTTATCCTGTTTGAAATGGTTCAAAAGGTTTATCGTGGATTCTCCCGCGGGGTATATACATTTTTGTGCTTCTTCAAATGGGATATTTCTTTTTTCACAATTTGTGCAATTTATTAGCCTCCAGAGTCGGCGCACACTTTCTTGGTCAGATACCAACTCGGAGAGCAAACCTATCTCAGAAGTCACGAAGATACCGCTATTTACACGATCAACATCGCCATGAACCCGAATTCTGACTTCACGGTGAGCAAGGTTTTTATTTTAACAAATCCTTCATTCGCAGTATCACATAAAGGTAAGATTGCCAAATAAAGATTTGATGATCATTCCAGGGATGTTTCGAAAGTTTTGTGTGTTGAAACAAGCTTTTACAAAATAATACTATATACTGTATTATGGAACACCGACGTTTATGAATCTGAGTCCATCAATAAGACTTGAAGAAAGCAGCTGCTCTTTCCGTGGATAATGTTGGATTGCGAAACAATTTTCAATTGTAGCCCAACTTCGGCCACTTATTTCTCGTGGGTAAAAATTCATGAAATACTTTCTGACATGACTGGCACAAAAGTTACGAGAATTGATTGCAAAACGGTTTGACACTGTATACATTGAAAGTGAGGATATGATGTTTTTGAATATCAGGATATTTTGAATATTCGGAGGATAAAATACAACTGCAGGAAGTCAAAAAAAGAAAATTTCAGAATAGCAAATGCAAAAAGTCAAGTGCAAAGGACAGCAAGTAAAAAAAAGCACGTACACAATTTTAGGAAAAAAAGCCTTTCGAATAGAGTCTGTGCTCGAAATGCCGAGGGCGCAAATNTTAAAAAAAGTTCATTACGCTGGATATTTACCTCAGCAAACTAATCAACCCCAGTAATCTTACGAAATTTGAAATATCCACTAATCAAGCATCAGAACTAACCTAACCTCATTTAAAAAAAATCATGGAATGAGCTAAAACCGAAATTTATTTAAATGAATCACTTTACACCTGTGCTGTCAGTTGACCGATTTTTTGGTTTGATCTTTTGAAAATTCTTCTAAAACGTTTGGCAACACCTTGTTGTCGAAAATCAATTTTCTGGTTTCATGCAACGGAGAAAATTTTGCAGATGCTCCATCATTCTTACTTGGCACATTGTTGATGTAGCACAGATCCAAAATCCAGTACTGAATATTTGATGAGAAAGACAGAAACAATTTCCATCTCATTTTAGAAGAAGCCACATGGTCAAGCCAGATGCAACTCTTCCTTGGACGAAGATATTGCCGAGCTATGCATAACAATTTACAAATTGAGAATCTAATTGATTGCGGCATAATATATCCCAAATTTTAACATATTTCCATTCGGAGGTTGAAAACTTTTAAGCCCTTGAAATTTTCCTTCTTTGATTGGGAAGTGAGAGAATTTTGTTGAAAATGAAACGAGAAAGGTAGATAAGTTTGTCGGATATTATTTTACCACACTTGAGACTTTCCTGAATACTGTACTTGTTTGGTCAAATTATTGGAGCTTCTGGGAAGGTATTGAAATTTTCTTTCAAAGATCATGCAATGGGAGAACTAACAATAATATGTTGATAACCTCATGTAAGTAAAATTTTTACGCATCTAGTAAAACACCAAATCGTTTAAAATATAGTACGTTCCTAACATGCTTCGTAATAGAGTATAACATAACCTGATTTGTTTAACCAAATGAACAATTGAATTCGAAAATATTGTCCAATAAAATCTGAACTTACCTATTTATGCTTATTTTTTCACCTGTTACTTTGCGCGCTTAGTATTTTGAGCACTTTTTCTCTTATACATGCGCATTTTCTGTTTTGTCCATGCACATTTGGGCACTTGATGTTTCCCTCACTTTCTGTTTCATGTTTGGTGTTTGACCCCTTTACCTCTCATTTGTTGTGCTTCTTGGCCAATTCAGAAAGCCCAGATTTCAATTTAGTCAGGCTAAAATGCTTGAATTCACCCAATGGGAAACGGTTGTTGAACAAATTGATATGTTGCATTTTGCAAGTTTCAAAATGTCTGTCATCCAATTTTGATTTTTTTAATGCAAATGGGTAGTTCAGAAATACTTCTGCATATTCTCATATTTTCTCATAAGCGATGAATTCACAGTAAACCGAAGGTGTTTTTCAAGCAAGGATGTTTAGATTTTAGCCAAAGGACCTTTTAGAGCAATAACCTGTGAATAAATTGCCTCCAGACATGAGCAGTAATATTTGATTGGATGTTCGTGTATCATGATCCAGAAAAATATGTTTCAAATGTTTCGAATGCACGTCAAGTATTCACGGACTCCGCATGAACTGATAACTGTGGTACTTTCATTCATTCAGGGTGCTGGATTACGATTTTCGAAAAGTGAATGCTTCATCCCCGAAACGGAAATGGGTTGGGGACTACTTCATCCATCCAGACTCACCCACAATCATGAAGCAAAGCCAATACGAAGTGGAAAACGATATGTGCAAGTTTCATTTATTGACAACGAATAGTGCTCTCTTATTCAGAACGAATTTATGCTGCATCTTTACTAACCTGAATCATGCGTGTCGTCCAAAAAGAAATTCAAAATTTACTGTCCAAGAATGCCGAAGAGTATTCTTTGTTTTACCTTTGCACACAATAAAACAGGAAACGGATTTTTTCTGAAAAAAAAACTGTTTGAAAAATTTGCTGAAAGATGAAAACGTTTCCCTATATTTATGATTTTATCATCGGTCGCTCCGTTTCAATTTCAATTCTTACAAACTCAATCGAAGCAATAATCCAAATATTATAAGGAAAAAACCGTGTCCGGGTGAAATCGGGGATTTTCGGGAAGACAAAATTCGCGTTCTTGGAAAAACAAGAAATATTTTTGCAAGTGTTTTTTTTCTTGAATATCTATAGTTCGTGAATTTTAATCGTGCATATACATGAAACCCTTTTTTCGTATATTTTCCTCTCAAATGTCACAGACCAAATTCGATAGTACTGTCCTGTAATTTTGTTTTCCTCGTACCATGATACTATATTTTCAAAAGAGTTACCGATTCTCTCGAATGCTTCCTTGCAAAAAATCAGGACACGTTTTTTTTTTTTAAAGAGGCAAAAAAAATTTCAAAACACAGAGATCACAAATTTGTATGCTGCTGCATTTTCTGTTTCGAAAAATTCAGCGTCAATCGTTAAATGAAGAATTTCAATTCCTCGGTTCGAACGTCCACCAATTCGAGCAGAGCCCGTGAAAACGAATTCTCTTCGTCCCAGTAAAGTGAGTCGGAAATGAAGGAAGGCTGAGGGTATATTTCCTCCCCATTTCTCGCAATCGAGGCTGGAACGGTAATTAAACAGATATGTCTTTAATCTTGATGAAAACCCTTTATTCTGCTCCAACGCATGCATTTACTCACTTGGCCGAACTGATTTTCCGCAGTCATCCAGCGGAACTGAGGTGAAATTGCGAAGTTTTGAAAGAACTCCACTTCCTGTTTTACCAACTGGTCACACACGGAGTCGAAGAGCAGTATGGAAAAACTTTCTTTGTCAATTTCATAATCATCGTCTTCTTCGGGCAAGGGTGAACACCTTCCCCGGGTTGCTTTCATGATAGCACACGCAGCAAGTAACGAAAGAGGAGAAAACACGTGCGTCAAATTCATGGTGCCCATCATTATTTGATTCTGCCTCTTTCAAAAGCCGTTTCCACGGAGAAATCTTGAGGAGAAATTGACGGGAAATAATAATGCAGCTTCTTATATGCTGGAAATCCGACAGTTCCCCGGAGGCTTTAGGACAGACTAATTTTCTGCAAATGTTCCTGTACATGTTTCCATGGATCCCTGTTGATTCGTCGGGCCAAGGTCGAACGCGTGTCGAACCTTTGATGGTTCCCTGTAGATTCTACCGTACGGCTGCACTGCATTGATCTTCCATCAGCGTGATCAAGCCCGAGTAAGAAGGATTAAGTCATCTTCAGGAAATGCGCAACCGGATGCGAAGGGCGATTCCGGTTGGGTGTCATGGCTGCATGTGATGTCAATGAGTTCGGTTGACGTGGAAAGCTTTCCAAAATAACAAGCAGTTCATGCGTCATGCTGCATTCGAACTTGCCAACATTGTTCTCATTTCAATCCCCGTATCTCAAGAAAATTGGCACAGCCAAATTAGATTTCTTAAAAGATTTCCCCAAGGAAATATTGTAGTTTTTAGGAGTAAAACACCACAATCAGCCTGAGACAGGCACAGAGCGTCTTAGTTATAGAGAATGAAAGAAATTGATATTTATGTATGTCCCAAAAGAATCAACAACTCAGCATCTTCAAGATAAATACACACACACACACACAATAATTCCCCCAAATTCCATGAGAACATTGGTTGAATATTTTGCAGTGGAAGCTAAGAATGGGAATGTACTATTGATTTCAAATTTTTGATGCTTTTGTGCATTATACAGGAAGGGTTATGTTGAACTTGCTCTTGGTGAAGGTTGGGATTCTTCGCTGCTTTCAGATTGGCCATTTATGTCAAAATCAAAGATACTGCTGTGCAGCATGGTGTAAAAGTTTCCAAGGATTTATGGGACAAGTTCTTTGGTGCTTGGATGCTCCAGAAGCCAACACTATGGTTAATGGGAAGCTGGGTGGTTAATTATATTCAATTACTGCCACGCGCCACAGTCCCAAGCATGATTGAGAGAAAAATAATACAGGTGGACCCTTTCTACGACAGAATTCAAGGGAATAGCAAAAAAGTTTGTTGCAGAAGACATTTTATTGGAGAGAGAACTCTATGAAACCTAAAAAATTCACTATATATAGGGAGAAAATTGTAGAGTATTGAGAATGTTGTCTTTTCCATGCTGAAGCAAAGGAACACCTGTGCATCAAAAGGTTTAGATTTTGAGGTGAAAGAAGTACATCAAACTACTTGGGACCAGGGTTAAAAATTCTTGGAAAATTATAATGAAAGTATAAATTTATAACTGCATTTGTCTTCACAATGAATTTCTGAACGCAAAATTAAAAAATACCTCTCAGTGATCACTCACACAATCAATTTCCAGAACAGTTCAGATTGGATTGATTGTAGACAAAAAAAGGAATTTCTATTGATTTTTTACAGTGGCCTTGACCCATTATTGAAGGTGAAGGATCAGGCAATTTTTCAGGACTGGGATTGGCCAAGAAAATTGAAGTCAAAGATGTTCTGGAACCAGCAAAAGCATCAAATCTGGACGATGGTCAAAATGGTTATAATTATATATTTGCGCAATCTCAAATTAGCATATGATTCACGAGAATCGTCCCCACGTTATCGTAGCGACAATCAGGAATGGTTTCAGGCCAAAAGGTTTCTGCTTGGATGCAGAATTGCAAAATCTTCCTAGGCAATAACAGCCCCATTGTCGGTTCCCAGGGTGACGTCCGCAATGTTCCACGTCAATCCCTCTGACACACTGTTTGCTTGAGACGAACTCTGTAAAATTTAAAGAAAGAAATAAGCAACGCTTCTTTTTGAATGACCAAGAATTACGCGAATTTGGCATACTTCTTGTCGCGTCAGTGAAGAATGTTGCGCAACCTGGCATGTAGAATGTCGGGTTGCAAGTGATGTTGTGCATTCGATGCAAACAGTCATAGTGATCTCTGCACCCGAAGCACTGCAAGTGACCCATTGCTGTGCAGAAATAAAAGTTTTGAATAAATTTTAGCACATATAGTAGGCTGATCTGCGGTATGCTATGTTGCGAATTTTTTCAGCTCTATTTTTAGCAAGTCAATTTGAGAACTTGAATTCTCATCCTTGGGGACAAAATCTACTTTCTCTGAGAACCTCGGAAGACCTTGGTTCTCACGTTGCTTACGGAAGCCTCCAAGGCTACATTTCTCCACTAATCCTGTTGCTAAATCTTGTCCTTGAAGGACTGCTTTCCTGTTTCAAAAACCCACAATATTCAACACAGTTTGTCTCCAGCATTCATGTGTGCAGTTACTCCAAGATTTTGCAAGCATTCTTCTCAAGTGTCAACCAAATCTTTGAATATATCAACCTTATAATAGGGTGATTTCACCCCGGCTGCAGTCCAACCAAATTCTTGTGTTTTACTTCTAAAACCAATTCATTTCCTCACCAAAAGATTCTTTGAAACTAAATTCTTCATTTGTTGGGATTTATTCCTGACGTGCTAGTTGCGTAATTGAAGGACGGTGTTGGGGACTCGTTTATAATCATTAATAAATAAATAAATTAATATCCCGGACGCGGCGGGAACAGAAATTAATCGGGTGGAAAACCACCCAAGAGGAAAAACCGCGAAAGGAAAGGCCAACGAACTTTTTACCCCCTCCACAAAAATG